GTAGAGAGAATAGTGCAACAATGAATGAATGGAAACCCAACATCTCTGTAAATGTTTATGAAAATTAATAAAATATAATTTTAGAAAAAAAATGCTATTGGCAGGTCTTTGTAGCCAGATTCAACATGAGAGATAATAAAATAATCTGCTTTCCTAAAGAAAACACACACACCAACAAAAATCTTTATATTGCAAACCCTAAAGAAAAGTGAAGACAATAGAGATAGGGATTTAAGGAAGAATTCTTTCACTGATAACATGTGAAATTTGGGGTTTAGAATGAAATCATTATTAAAGGAGAGAGTCAGGTGGTTTCCTCTTAGGGTTGAGAACACTGAGACAGCAGAGATGAGGGAGTTCTCCCAGGTCATGTGTCTGCAGTAGAATGGAGACCAGAGCTCTGACTGTGCACTTAGAATTTTGTGTCCTTTTGACTAAAGGGAAAATGTCAATGAGCAGAGGCCCAGGGGCCTGTCTGAGGACTTGCAGATAGGGGTTCAAGAGACCACAATGAAAAGACAAGAACAAGAAAGAGAGAATAGTTGAGAGGAAGAACCAAGACACATATACACTATTCATTTCAAGAGTTTTGATGCTTGAAAACACAGTATAAATTCTGAAAATATAAACACATTTAAAACTAGTAAATATCTCTTGATAAAATGGCTTCTATAGAACTATTTAGTTTAGTATTTTTTTAAAAAAGTAGGCCTATAAAAGGAGATGGCAGTAATGAGATTCCAAGAAAGTTACCATGTCTTCCAGATTATGGATGATCCGTCTCTGGTTGGGTTCTGTCTGGAGTCGCTGAAATTCCTCATCCACAATGGGATCTCCTTTATGTAACTGAGGTTTTCAATAAAGAGAAATACTAGAGTTGAATATAAGTACAAGAGATTTCTGTCTTTAAGTCGAGTAGAAATTCATTTAGCAATTGGCAGTAGAAATGCATTTAGCAATTGGCGAAGCCCACTTGTGGAGGCAGCTTCCCTTGGAAGTGGTGGAGGTACCTACAGGTGGTAATGGTCTTTCTAAGGGGATTTAATATTTCAGCAAAGGGAGTGTTTTAAGAAGCACAGGCCTGATACCTTTGTGTAACTAGAGGCTAGTGCACCTAGAAGTTACTTCTGAGGTACTTGAAATCCACAGTAGAGTTTTAGATCTTATAATTTGAGCATTATTTAGATTTCAACTAAAAGAAATTTCAAATTTCAGGGCAATTTTAAGCTCCTTAGTTGCTCACTCATACACAGAGAATTATCCAAGGTACATGATTCCCCATTTTCAGAGCGGTAGGGGTTGAAGGTGACTTCTGGGCTGGAAAGGCCTTGCATTTGTCCTTGGGGTACCTGTCTCCAAGATGTCCTTCTTCCCACCTGCCAACATCCTAGATAGGGCCCTGGCCCAGGGTCCTCACGTCTGAGCTCTTGCCGACTCCGTGGAAGACATGAGAACTCTGTGGCCACACATTTACCTCTGTGGACATTGCACATGGGGTTAGCTTCTGTTGAGTCTTTGCTAATGCTTGAACACCAGCAAAAAAACCTGGTGTCTTAAACCCACCCATAGGTGTCTTGGAAGAAAGATCTTAAAATATGCTTAGGAAAGAACTGACTAAGCAATAACAATTAACTGTTCTTGTTGGGAAACTTTTTAAAGTATTTTGGCTCTTCGGTATACTATTGACAATCACTTTAAAAGACTTAAAACCACACTAACTAAGACTTAACAACACTGACACCACACTCACATGTAAATTGCTGTGGAACCAAAAGTTACACCTAGCTGATCCTCTATCAGGTTTCCAGAGGCTGTAGAATGCATGGGAGGAGACTGCTCATCTCTTCAGAGGAGCCACTGGTGCCAGAGAAGTGTAGTCCCTGGGTTAACAGTGCAACACACCTGACATGCTTTGCCATCAGAGCTCCCCATCAAAATATAGGAGCATTGAATTACTGTCCCTAGGGTGTGGGGCTGGCCAGCTCTTTAAACACTGATTTGGACACACTGGAAGATGAATTAGATAAGGATGGGCAATCTTCTCCCATACAATTTACAACCTCTGAAAACCAACTGGGGGTCATCTGGGGGTCAGTTTTGACTTGGAAGCACATAACAAGAACAGGTTCAAAATACAAATTTTGTGGGAAGAGACTTAGAGGACTATCACTTTACCAAAAACGTAAATAAATAAAAAGAGGCTCCTTAAGAAGGACTGGCAAACAGGTTACGACCTGGAATAAAGAGGAAGTTTTCCTATCTATTTATTATTAAAACAGTTAATTCTGGGCTAAAGGGTGCCAAAGAGAAGAATGAAGCATTCAGTATTCAAATCCTGATGGCTTTTCCTGCTGCTGCTAAGAAGAGCTTGTCTGGCTGAGCTAGCAGGTGGACTGTAAATCACCGTGGAATGTCCCTCCCTAAATACACTGTTTATAAAAATCCTCCCCAATAAGTTCACAGTGTGACCCCATTCTGCACCTCCAGAATGAGGAACTCACCCAGGAGCTCCTACATTACCCTCCTTTTTTAATAAAGCTGCATTAAGCTTTCTCTCATTCTCTCCAATTTCTTCCTTAAGTACGCTAACTCAACAAAAACTTTACTTATTTATAATAAACATTTCAAAATGTTATTCTTTTATGTATTTATTTTAAATTGTGATTTGAGAGTTTACAAAACATACTGGTTTTTCAAACAATAATTTATAGACATTTGTTTTCCTCTTCTCCCCCAAGAAGCTCAGCATCCTTTAGAGTGTGTCATCCATCAATAATGCTGATTCCTCACAAAGCTCCTACCATCTCATCCCCATCACCTCTTTTCTCTAACACTCCACGAGGTACCTTGGGATATTCCTTGCCATTGGTTCGTCTACCAGAGACCAGCAGCCAGATATAGTGACTAGGGTCTTTCCGACACTTGATCTCCAACTACACCACAGGGCTTCATGCTTGTCTACTCTTCCTTGTACTCATTTTTTTTCATGTATTTTAATCTATCATGCATTTTACTATGAACCTGTGAACATGCTCAAGTTTCTTCACTTTTGTAATCCCTCCCTTGATTCTTTACTCTTCTCTAATTGCCCAATCTAATTATCACTCTTTGACCCTGCACAGCTTAACTTCTCAATAAAATATCTCTACTTCCTCACATCTATATATTCTTCTAAGGACCCTAATGGCACAATTGTCAGCTGCTAGCCAAAAATTTGTTGGTTTGAACACACCCAGAGGCTCCACAGCAGAAAACATTACAGCCAAGGAAAGCATACTCAGTCATCAAGGGTTGCTATGAGTTGGAGCAATTTGATGGCAAAGAACAGCAGCATGATTCAAAACATTGATACAAACCAATTTGACTTTTGCCTTCTTAAGTGTATGGAAATGATTATTTCTAAGGAAAACAATGATCTCCAAATCACGATATTCTATGTGTATTTTTCAGGACTATCATCTTAGAGCCATTGGTTGCAATTGACTGATCCCTCTCCTTTAGCTTGAAACCCAATGTTCCCTTTGCCTCTGTACTATCCAATTTTCCTAATCTTTCAGCTAATTTTCTGTCTCTTTAGTGGTCCTCTTTGTTTTCCCCTTAAATAATCAAGTTCTCTAGAGTTCCTTCCTCACTCTAGTGCCTTTCTCATGTCACTCACTTTCCTAGGTCACCACATTTATTTTGTAGTGCCTCTATCTCTGTATTGTCCACTCTGAAGTCTCTGTCCTCAACTCAGATGTGTTCCCTAGCTGCCTCACAGATACCCTCAGTTATCCCAAATGTATTATATCACAAAACTAACTCTACTTAGCTTCTGCCTTTCTACTCTTTGAGCGTCTCACCCTCTTTTAGTGTCTCTGCCATGGGACTTTGTGTTTGCATCTAGGCCAGCTTGGCTCCTCGTTCCTGCCTTTGGTTCTCTCTTGTCTTTATGTTTTGTAGATCACAGATGACACCTTAAATCATAATTATAATTTAAGCCTAAGTTTAAGCTGTTCTTTCCATTTGGGAAGCTCTCTCCTCTTCATTACTCCTAAAAATCATACCATACCTTCCAGGAAGCTTTTATAACTAGATGAGTTCTCTTTCCCCTCTGGTTTCCAAATCCCCACAATCCTCAGTATGTTTCTCATGATTTATAGTTAGCAGCTTCCCTGACATCAGTCTTCTCAAATCCAAACTTAGCTGTAAATTGTTTCCTCCCAATATGACATCTTACATAAAGCAGAAATTAAAAATATTTATTAAACAAATTATATCAAAGTGGCAGTAATTCTGACCTTATATTTCATACATGCTTTTTGATGTTCTTCAGTAAGCTCTCTTTTTAACTTAAAAGCTATGGGATCTTTACCAAGGTGCACCTGCCTGAAGAGAAGAAAAACAAATTCCACAACTCATCAGAAGACTGTGGTCAGTGTCAAGAGCCTTAGCTATACTCTGAAATAACAAATGGGAAGGGCTGCTGGAATATTAGAATATTGGAATATCATAATGGAGAGTACTTGTAGGGTCTTCTGTTAAGATGAATAATGTACTCTATAAAATATAGCTTATTTTCTAATGACACATATTGAAACAATTAGGACTAAACCCCAGAAGCTCAGTATCATTAGTTGCTAGGGAAATACAAACCAAACCCACAATGATACCACTCCACCTCCACCAGAATGGCTATAATTAAAAATTAAACCAAATTAAAACAGAAACAAGAACTTGTGTGGAAAAAAAGGGAATTAAAAAAAATTTTTTAATTAATTTTAATGAAAATTTGCAGAGACTTTGGATTTCCATTCATTCATTGTTGCACTTTTCTCCCTGCCCTTCTCTCTCCCCCCAGTACACTCTTCTCTTTGAAAAGTAAAGAAAAATTCTTTCATTGTTTTACAATACCTCCCCCCAGGTCTACTCCACTATGTAGCCTTTTTTCTGGACTCCTGTCATGATAATAATACCTAATCATATATTCCTTTTAAAGAGTTCTCTCCCTCATCTGTTTCAATGCAGTATACATAATTTATCCCACCTTTCCCAGTCTCCTTCCAACACTGATGTCAGTCTCATTTTACAAGAGTGGCATTATGCAGTATTTGTCCTTTGGTGACTGAGATATTTCACTCACCATAATAAAAATGGGAATGCTAAACAATTTAGGTGAAAACCAGTTCTGCAGTTCTGATACTTGCTAATTATAGGGATCTTGAAAACATTCTATGACGTGAAAGCAGTGGAAACAAAGATCACATATTATATATGGTCCAACTTAGGTGAAGTGTCTAAAACTTCCTCATTAAAGAAGACAAGGAAGCTCTAGTGGCCTAGTGGCAAGGAGTTACATTGCCAAAGGCATATAGTTCATGTACACTAGCTGCTCCTCAGAAGAAAAGATGGGGGATCTCCTCCTGTGCAATTTATAATCTCTGAAAACTCACTGGGGGTCAGTGACAAATCAGCTCTGACTTGACGACATACCACCACCAGAACCATAAAAACAAGGAGGCAGAAAGTAGATTAGAGCCTTCAGGGGTCAGAGAGAAGGGAAAATAGGAAATGATTGATTAATAGATATAGGATTTCATTTTAAGTCACAGAAATATTCTGAAATTAAACAGTGATACAGAGTGCAGAAAATGTATACTTAAAAGTGGTTCATTTTATATTGTGCAAATTTAATCTCAATTAATATAGAATTTTTTGTGTAATGGGTCAATCTTAAAGCTTGGTACAGATCTACAATAAATAGTAGCTATGATTTTTAAAGTGGAGGAGAGGCATCTGGAAAACTTCAAATAAAGTAGACTAGAGATATGTGAAAATTAAATGTAAATCATACAATCTTTTTATTTGTTCAGAATTTCTTTTTTTGCTACAAACCAAACCAAACCAAACCAAACCAAACCAAACCAAACCAAACCCCAGCACTCTATCTTTATTATTGGAATAACTGGGAGAGATCTGCATACGAACTGATAATCATTATTATCATATAATGTTGGGTCAGTGTCAAATTTCATGGGAGATATTATGATAATGTAGGAGGGCATCTTTTTTCTTAGGAATGGCAGGATCAAGTATTTAGACATAAAGTTTCATGATAGCCTGTAACTTACTGTCAAATGATACAACAAAAATTAGGTAATATATTTGTATGTTTGTGTTTAAGGGGAAAGTACATGTGGCAAAAAGCTGACAAATTGTGAACAAGTCAAGTGTATACAGATATGACTTGCAAGTTTCAAATCTGCCAAAATAAAATATTAGGAAAATTATTAAAGGAAAAGACAGCATCTAGAATGGAATGGAATTTAAATATGATCGTATGCTACAAATAATCTGAAAAAAGAAAGAAGCACACAAAAGAGGGGTTACAAATGATTTTTTTCCCTTTGCTATATATTTTTTATAAAATATATTTTAAGCCTTTCTTAGAGGCAATGATGGTAGAGCTTCACCTCACATTCTTTGGGCATGTTTTCTGGAGGGACCAGTCTTTGGAAAAGGACATAGGTTGGGAAAGATGGAAGGTCAGAGAGAAGAAGACTGTGTCAATGAGATGGAGTGACACAGTTACTGTACCAAGGGGCAGAGCATATCTGAGGTGGAGAGGATGGTGCAGGACCTGACAGGGTTAGATCTGTTGTTAACTGTTGTCCAGAGGCTCACTATCAGTTATATTTCACTCCATGGCACCTAACAACAACATGTATAAGTTTTATTTATTTTTTAATATTTTTTGTTTCTTTGTAAAATTTATTATTAATTTCAATGAAAATTTACAGAGACTTTGGATTTCTATTCATTCATTGTTGCAATTTCCTCTCCTCACAACCCTCCCATCCAGTACACTACCCTCTTGGAAAAGTAAAAGAAAAATTCTTTCATTGTTTTACAATCCCTCTTCCCAGGTCCACTCCACTATGCAGCCTTCGCTCTGGACTCCTATCATGACAAAAATACCTAATAACATATCCCTATTGAACAGTTTTCTCCCTCATCTGTTTCAATGCAATATGAATTTCTAAACCCATCTTTCTCAGTCTCCCCCCAACCCTGACGTCAGTCCTGTTTTACAACAGTGGCACCAGGCAGTATTTGTCCTTTTGTGACTGAGATACTTCACTCAGCATAATATCCTCCAGGGTCACCCATTTTGAATAATATTGCATGAGTTCCTTGTTTTTTAATGCAGCGTTACTACATTCCATTGTGTGAATATACCACAGCTTCTTTATTCATTCATTTATTAATGGGCACTTAGGTTGTTTCTAACTCCTTGCTACTGTGAACAAAGCCACAATAAACATGGGTGTGAATATATCTGCTCGGGTGGCAGTTATGGTCTTTGGGATATATTCCCAGTAGAGGAATTGCTGGGTCAAATGGTATCTCTATTTGCAACTTTTTGAGAAAGCTCTCTATACTGCCTTCCACAGTGGTTGCACCATTTTACACTCCAACCAACAGTGAATAAGGGTTCCAGTTTCTCCACAACCTCACCAGCACTTGATATTCGCTGTTCTGTTAAATTTTGTTATTCTTACTGGGGTGAGATGATACCACACAGTTGTTTTGATATGCATCTCTCTTAGAGCTAGGGATTTTGAACATTTCTTCATGTGCTTGCTTGTTAGCCATCTGAATGCCTTCTTTGGTGAAGTGTCTGTTCATATCCTGGGCCCATTTTTCTATTGGATTATTTACCTTTATCTTGATTTGGCGCTCAAGTATTTTATAAATTCTGGATATAAGTCCCTTATCAGATATGTCATTACCAAATACTTTTTCCCAGTCTGTGGCTTCCCTTTTTGCCCTGTTGGAGAAGTTTTTGGATGTCCATAGGGATAAATTTTATTTAGTTGGAAAAAATGACTTAAAAATTACCATCAGTTTTTTATAGATAGTTTTCCAATTTTCCCTAGTTAACTGATTTTATTTCCTTGTCAAAAATAAGTTGACCATAGGTAGATGGGCTGATTTCTGGATTCTCAATTCTATTCCACTGATCTATGTGTCTGTCACTGTACCAGTACCATGCTGTCTTGATCACCACAACTGTGCAGTAGGATTTGACATCAGGGAGTGAGATGCCTCCTACCTTGTTTCTCTTTTTAAGGAGTGCTTAGCTTATTCAAGATCTCTTTCCATTCCAAATGAAATTGGAGATTGCCTTTTCCACCTTATTCCATACACAAAAACCAACTCAAAATATATCAAGGACCTAGGACTAAAACCAAGGTCTATGAACTTCATTAGAGAAAAGCTTGGAAGAACTCTAGAAGCCCTAATTCACAACATAAACAGTCTTCTAAACATCCTGAAAAACCTACAACCAAGAAAGGATAAAATTGATGAATGGGACCTTCTAAGAATAAAATCCATTTGCACCTCCAAAATCTTATCCAACAGGATAAGAAGGGAAGTCATAGACTACGAGATATCATCTCACTCCAGTAAGAATAGCAACATTCAACAGAGCAGCAAACAGCAAATGCTGGCGAGGTTGTGGCAAACTGGAATCCTTATTCACTATTGGTGGGAGTGTAAAATGTTGCAACCACTAGGGAGAGCAGTATGACACTTTCTCAAAAAGTTAAAAATAGAAATACCGTTTGACCCACCAATTCCACTACTGGGAATATACCCTAAATAAACCATACCTGCCACCAAGCAGATACATGCACTCCCATGTTTATTGCTGCTTTGTTCACAATAGCAAAGAGTTGGAAACAACCCAAGTGCCCATCAACAAATGAATGGATAAAGAAGCTGTGGTATACTCACAAAATGGAACACTATGCTGCATTGAAAAACAAAGAAGTCATGAAATATTACACAAAATGGGTGACCCTGGTGGATATTATGCTGAGTGAAATATCTCAGTCACAAAAGGACAAATACTGCATAGTGCCACTGTTGGAAAATGGGACTGACATTGGGGTTGTGGGGAACCTAAGAAAAGAGGGAATAAATGATGTATACTGCATTGAAACAGAGGAGGGAAAGAACTGTTTAAAAGGAATATATGATTAGGTATTATTTTCATGACAAGATTACAGAAAAAGAAATGTATAGTAAAATGGACTGTGGACTTGGTGGGGGATATTGGATAACAATGAAAGAAATTTTTTCCTTTTCAAAGAGAAAAGCTAAATGGGGGAGGAGTGGGTAAGGAGCAAAATGTGCAACAATGAATAAATGGGGGAAATTTAAATGGAAAAAATATTCTATAGATATATATGCTGCATAAAAAATTATTAATAAAAAAATGACCACCAGTCACTTTTTACCTTCCCATTAATTTGAGGCCAGGATATAGTAACAAAGTTGAAGGACTGTAGTAACAGTAAAGGCCAGTTCACACTAAAGTG